GAAGGAGAACAATTCTCTTCCTGTAGGTGAAGGAGAACAATTATCGTGGCCACGGGGATAGTGTGGATCAGCTGTGCTGGCACCCCAGTAACCCCGACCTCTTTGTTACTGCCTCTGGAGACAAAACCATCCGTATTTGGGACGTCCGCACCACGAAGTGCATCGCTACCGTGAACACCAAAGGTGGGTGCTGATGTGAGGAGGTTAGAGGGACCCGCACATCTCAGTACAGCTACAAACACTGCTTCTTTTGCAAATGCATCCTGCTCCCAACATGGATGCCAGTAAATTCAGGAAACCTGAGAGCTCTATATGATCAGGGCTTGACAAACTATAGAATCTACTCACCCGTGGCGAGTAGATTTCAGCTGCACACCCCATTTACCGGTGGCATGCGCATGCTCAGTGCGGGGCTGGCGAGCAGCTTTCACTGCCATTTGTCAAGCTCTGTATATGATGATTGTGTGGCAATTGCATCTTTCTGGCTCTTAGTAGCAAATTATAACTATACATTACACCAGGGGTTCCCAACCTTTTTTGGCTCCCGTACCTCCTTGACAAGCTTCTTGTTCCCCAGGTTGGGAACCCCTGCATTACACTATCTCCAGGGAGAATTTGTGTGTGTACCCAGCATTAGCCATGTTCTGACACAGTGTTAAACACCTGAACCTGTTTACATTAGCGCTAGGATTGGTGGAGGTGCACTGATGTTAGACTGTCTCAAAATCTCTCTGGTGTGTGGCTCTAGGGAGAAGGGATAGCTAGAAGTTAGAAAAAAACGTTGAGTCCTCCCATTTCTATTTTTTAAGCACCTTTTCTTCCAAGGTTTCGTTACATATTCATTCCAGTCAGTATATAGGTAGTATATAGGTGCGGGAAATGTGTGCTAGGGTGCTATGCAGGTGAATCCTGCTCTCCCTAACTCAGCTGGGATTAGCAGCACCCCTGCAAATTGTTCCAACACCCCTGAGTCACTACTATGTCAAAAAATTGTTCAAAAACAAGGAGGAGTCCTCTGGCGCCTTAAAGATTAACGGACATATTTGGGCATAAGCTTTCGGGGGTAAAAAGCACTTTGTCAGATGTATGGTTTTTACCCACGAAAGCTAATGCCCAAATATATCTGGTAGACTTTAAGGTGCCACAGGGCACCTCGTTTCCATAGATACAGACTCACGTGGCTACTCCTCTGAGATGAGAGATTTGTTGCACAATTTATTTAGCCTGGCAATTTATTTTAGTGGCTGTGCAGAGAGATTTAGACAGGGAAGAGACATGCAACAGGAGTAATCGTGATTCTCTGTTTTGAGGCCACAGTTCTGTTCAGTTAATTTCCCTTAAAGCTTTCGTAGTTGTGGAGCAGCTAGTCAGGCAAAGCTAGGCTGTTACATGTTAAGCTTGGTGCTGTCTGCATTTTGCCACTCAAGGCAGAAGGTTTGTGGGGCAGACCTGGGTTAAACGTACAAGAGTCTGTCTATGGCACATGAGTGGCTCTTGCCCCCATTAGTGGTGCGGGAGGACCTTCCCACTCTCTTCCATTCCAGGAGAGAACATTAATATCTGCTGGAGCCCCGATGGCCAGACCATTGCTGTGGGAAATAAGGATGATGTGGTCACCTTCATTGATGCCAAAACACATCGCTCCAAGGCTGAGGAGCAGTTTAAGTTTGAGGTGAATGAGATTTCCTGGAACAATGATAACAACATGTTCTTCCTCACCAACGGAAACGGCTGCATCAACATCCTCAGGTACTTCCCGGCATGGTCTCTAGTGCGGGGCCCCCCTCTTACATCTCCTGCCCTGCTCCCTCGGGCTGTCTTTCCTTCTCATGGCTCTTGTGTAGACTGATTGCCTTGGCAATAGCTGAGGGCTACAGTGTGGTGTGGTTGGGGGGCGTGTGCTGTCATAAGCTGGCTGGTAGACGAGGCTGAGAGGTTCCCAATGGGGCTCTAGTCTGCTGTCCTTTGATCGCTAACCCTTTAGGGTTCCCTGCTGGGGGTGGGCCTTAGGGGGTGGGCCTATCTCAGGGGAACAGGGTGTTAAAAGAAATGGGAGTTTTGCGAGGCAGATGTACCTAGTAACGGCTCCAGCACGAGACTGGGAAGCACAGGACACCGGGTGCACAGAGGTGGGAGATCGCTGTGAAGTTATCCCCTGCGACACAGATTCAGCGATGAGGCTGCACCCATCTCTGACCCAGCGCAAGGACTGGGTCTACCCCCAGAAAACCTCAGGGTCCTGCACCTCTATGCCAGGTGCACCAGGTGTGGGCAACTCATGGCCCTCAGATTCCAAGTATGGGCTCTTGAGACCAGGGTGGCTGAACTGGAGGAGCTAAAAGAGAGGGAGGTACACTGCAGAGACTTCCAGGGTCACAGTAGAGCAGTCCCCCCTCCTCCCCTCTCCCCCCCCCCCCCCCGTCTTGAATAACATCAAGCTCGAGCAATCCCATAATTGGGACCTCCCTTCCAGATGATGTCATGGTGCTCCTCTGGGGCCCACTTACTAAGAGACAGGTAAACAGTAATGGGGGATTTGGTCATTAGAAATATAGCTAGTCAGTGTGTGATTACCAGGAAAACTGCTGGGTGAATTGCCTGCCAGGTGTGAAGGTTGCAGATCTCTCAAGACATAGACACAGTGCTGGGGAGTAGCCAGTGGTCAGGTAGGTACCAGTGACATGGGGCAGAGGACCTGGAGGTCCCATTTAGGCTGCTCAGTAAGTCTAGCACCTCCATGGTAGTGTTCTCTGAAATGTTCCGAGTTCCATGCACAGAGCCGGGAAGACAGGCAGAACTTCAGGGTTTCAATGCATGGGTGAAATGATGGGGTTGGCTGGAGAGATTTAGGCAACCTTTTGGGAAAGGAACCTATACAGGAAGGCTGGGCTCCACCTAAACCAAAATGGCACTGGACTGTAACGTGAAAAGGTGGTAGGGGATTTTGAAACGAAGAGCTGTCAGAGTTAAGACCGAAAAGACCATGATGTCGCTATAGAAACCCGTGGTATGCCCACATCTTGAATATTGGGTGCGGCTCTGGTGCCCCATCTCAAAAACATTTTTTTGACTAAGAAAAGGTACAGAGAAGGGCAACAAATGATCTGAGGCAAGGAACAGCTTCCGGGTGAGCAGAGATGGGAAAGACTGGGACTAATCTTACAAAAGAGATGGCTTGGGGGATATGATGGAAGGCTGTAAGATCGTGACTGGAGCGGAGATGGTGAATAAGGAAGTGTTACTTACCTGTTCGCAAGAACCAGGGGTCATTGAATGAAAGTAACAGGCAGCAGGTTTAAAACAACCAAAGGAAGTACAGTCGGCCAAAATGAGAACTGAGTTAAAAAGCTCGGATAAGGCCCTGGAGCTCGGTCCACCAATGGCTGTGGATAAGCTGCTCGGGGATGCAAACCCGTGTTCTGGTGTCCCTAACCATTGAGCGCCTGAAGCTGGGAGCGGCCAGTGGGATGGGTCACTTGCTAATCCTTCTGAAGCACCTGGCATTGGCCACTGTTGGAAGGCAGGTTCCTGGGCGAGAGGTTCTGGCTTGGTCTGCAGCCCAGCTTCCTGGGTGTTGGGCCGGGCACGCAGCGCCCTGCTGTGGAGGGCACTTGGGCCCTGCAGTGTCGGGGATGGGCTCTTTCATTTCACTCTGCTCTCTCCTGTGCACCTGCAGCTACCCAGAGCTGAAGCCCATCCAGTCAATCAACGCTCACCCATCAAACTGCATCTGCATCAAGTTTGACCCCATGGGGAAGTACTTTGCCACGGGAAGTGCAGATGCTCTGGTCAGCCTGTGGGATGTGGATGAGCTGGTGTGCGTGAGATGCTTCTCCAGGTAGGTGACCCTGCCTGTTGTCTTTCCTCCTCCGCCCCTGGTGCTGGGGAAATCCCTCTAACCCACCCTGTGCTGCAGGCTGGACTGGCCCGTGAGAACGTTGAGTTTTAGCCACGATGGGAAGATGCTGGCGTCGGCGTCGGAGGATCACTTCATCGACATTGCCGAGGTGGAGACAGGTAACGGCGCAGGCGGCCGGTGTCTCTGAGGACTGGTGGGTTTGCACAGCAGGGCGGTGGCGGGGCAGCAGTGATGGGGCGGGAGCGGCGGGTCAGGCGACCGGTGGGTGTGCAGGGCAGTGGCGGGGTGGGAGCGGTGGGGCAGGCGACCGGTGGGTTTGCAGGGCAGTGGCGGGGTGGGAGCGGCGGGGCGGTGAGGTGCAGGCTCTGCTCCTGGCTCACGCCCTGCTGTTTCTCGCTGCAGGGGAGAAGCTGTGGGAGGTGCAGTGTGAATCCCCCACCTTCACAGTGGCCTGGCACCCCAAGAGGCCTTTGCTGGCCTTCGCCTGTGACGACAAAGACGGCAAGTACGACAGCACTCTTCGGCCTCCCCAACGACGCGTGATGGGCGCCCAGCAGGCCTGGGAGGGGCAGAGAGGTGGGGCTGGTCCCCAGCCCCTCTCTGCGCTGCCATGACCTCTGCCTCGGGATAGGCCGGCTTCTTCCTTGGGTTTGGTGGCCGGCTCC